TTATATAAGAATTTATAGGTAATCTCATGTTGTATTTTATTAGTTGTTGGAGTGATCAGTTGTTAGAGTTATATAAGAATTTATAGGTAATCTCATGTTGTATTTTATCAGTTGTTAGAGTGCTATACGAATTTATAGGTAATCTCATGTTGTATTTTATCAGTTGTTAGAGTTATATAAGAATTTATAGGTAATCTCATATTGTATTTTATCAGTTGTTAGAGTGATATACGAATTTATAGGTAATCTCATGTTGTATTTTATCAGTTGTTAGAGTGATATACGAATTTATAGGTAATCTCATATTGTATTTTATCAGTTGTTAGAGTTATATAAGAATTTATAGGTAATCTCATGTTGTATTTTATCAGTTGTTAGAGTGATATACGAATTTATAGGTAATCTCATGTTGTATTTTATCAGTTGTTAGAGTGATATACGAATTTATAGGTAATCTCATATCGTATTTTATCAGTTGTTAGAGTGATATAAAAATTTATAGGTAATCTCATATTGTATTTTATCAGTTGTTAGAGTTATATAAGAATTTATAGGTAATCTCATGTTGTATTTTATCAGTTGTTAAAGTTATATAAGAATTTATAGGTAATCTCATGTTGTATTTTATCAGTTGTTAGAGTGATATACGAATTTATAGGTAATCTCATATTGTATTTTATCAGTTGTTGGAGTGATATACGAATTTTAGGTAATCTCATATTGCATTTTATTAGTTGTTGGAGTGATCAGTTGTTAGAGTTATATACGAATTTATAGGTAATCTCATGTTGTATTTTATCAGTTGTTAGAGTGATATACGAATTTATAGGTAATCTCATGTTGTATTTTATCAGTTGTTAGAGTGATATACGAATTTATAGGTAATCTCATATTGTATTCTATCAGTTGTTAGAGTGATATACGAATTTATAGGTAATCTCATGTTGTATTTTATCAGTTGTTAGAGTGATATACGAATTTATAGGTAATCTCATGTTGTATTTTATCAGTTGTTAGAGTTATATAAGAATTTATAGGTAATCTCATGTTGTATTTTATCAGTTGTTAGAGTGATATACGAATTTATAGGTAATCTCATATTGTATTTTATCAGTTGTTAGAGTGATATAAGAATTTATAGGTAATCTCATGTTGTATTTTATCAGTTGTTAGAGTTATATAAGAATTTATAGGTAATCTCATGTTGTATTTTATCAGTTGTTAGAGTTATATAAGAATTTATAGGTAATCTCATGTTGTATTTTATCAGTTGTTAGAGTGATATACGAATTTATAGGTAATCTCATGTTGTATTTTATCAGTTGTTAGAGTGATATACGAATTTATAGGTAATCTCATGTTGTATTTTATCAGTTGTTAGAGTGATATACGAATTTATAGGTAATCTCATGTTGTATTTTATCAGTTGTTAGAGTGATATACGAATTTATAGGTAATCTCATGTTGTATTCTATCAGTTGTTAGAGTGATATACGAATTTATAGGTAATCTCATATTGTATTTTATCAGTTGTTAGAGTTATATAAGAATTTATAGGTAATCTCATGTTGTATTCTATCAGTTGTTAGAGTTATATAAGAATTTATAGGTAATCTCATGTTGTATTTTATCAGTTGTTAGAGTGATATACGAATTTATAGGTAATCTCATGTTGTATTTTATCAGTTGTTAGAGTGATATACGAATTTATAGGTAATCTCATATTGTATTTTATCAGTTGTTAGAGTGATATACGAATTTATAGGTAATCTCATGTTGTATTTTATCAGTTGTTAGAGTTATATAAGAATTTATAGGTAATCTCATGTTGTATTCTATCAGTTGTTAGAGTGATATACGAATTTATAGGTAATCTCATATTGTATTTTATCAGTTGTTAGAGTGATATAAGAATTTATAGGTAATCTCATGTTGTATTTTATCAGTTGTTAGAGTTATATAAGAATTTATAGGTAATCTCATGTTGTATTTTATCAGTTGTTAGAGTTATATAAGAATTTATAGGTAATCTCATGTTGTATTTTATCAGTTGTTAGAGTGATATACGAATTTATAGGTAATCTCATGTTGTATTTTATCAGTTGTTAGAGTGATATACGAATTTATAGGTAATCTCATGTTGTATTTTATTAGTTGTTGGAGTGATCAGTTGTTAGAGTGATATACGAATTTATAGGTAATCTCATATTGTATTTTATCAGTTGTTGGAGTGATATACGAATTTATAGGTAATCTCATATTGTATTTTATTAGTTGTTGGAGTGATCAGTTGTTAGAGTGATATACGAATTTATAGGTAATCTCATATTGTATTTTATCAGTTGTTGGAGTGATATACGAATTTATAGGTAATCTCATATTGTGTTTTATTAGTTGTTGGAGTGATCAGTTGTTAGAGTGATATACGAATTTATAGGTAATCTCATATTGTATTTTATCAGTTGTTAGAGTGATATACGAATTTATAGGTAATCTCATATTGTATTTTATCAGTTGTTGGAGTGATATACGAATTTATAGGTAATCTCATATTGTATTTTATTAGTTGTTGGACTGATCAGTTGTTAGAGTGATATACGAATTTATAGGTAATCTCATATTGTATTCTATCAGTTGTTAGAGTGATATACGAATTTATAGGTAATCTCATATTGTATTTTATCAGTTGTTAGAGTGATATAAAAATTTTTAGGTAATCTCATATTGTATTTTATCAGTTGTTAGAGTAATATAAGAATTTATAGGTAATCTCATGTTGTATTTTATCAGTTGTTAGAGTGATATACGAATTTATAGGTAATCTCATATTGTATTTTATTAGTTGTTGGAGTGATCAGTTGTTAGAGTTATATAAGAATTTATAGGTAATCTCATGTTGTATTTTATCAGTTGTTAGAGTGCTATACGAATTTATAGGTAATCTCATGTTGTATTTTATCAGTTGTTAGAGTTATATAAGAATTTATAGGTAATCTCATATTGTATTTTATCAGTTGTTAGAGTGATATACGAATTTATAGGTAATCTCATGTTGTATTTTATCAGTTGTTAGAGTGATATACGAATTTATAGGTAATCTCATATTGTATTTTATCAGTTGTTAGAGTGATATAAGAATTTATAGATAATCTCATGTTGTATTTTATCAGTTGTTAGAGTGATATACGAATTTATAGGTAATCTCATGTTGTATTTTATCAGTTGTTAGAGTGATATAAGAATTTATAGGTAATCTCATATCGTATTTTATCAGTTGTTAGAGTGATATAAAAATTTATAGGTAATCTCATATTGTATTTTATCAGTTGTTAGAGTTATATAAGAATTTATAGGTAATCTCATGTTGTATTTTATCAGTTGTTAAAGTTATATAAGAATTTATAGGTAATCTCATGTTGTATTTTATCAGTTGTTAGAGTGATATACGAATTTATAGGTAATCTCATATTGTATTTTATCAGTTGTTGAAGTGATATACGAATTTATAGGTAATCTCATATTGCATTTTATTAGTTGTTGGAGTGATCAGTTGTTAGAGTTATATACGAATTTATAGGTAATCTCATGTTGTATTTTATCAGTTGTTAGAGTGATATACGAATTTATAGGTAATCTCATGTTGTATTTTATCAGTTGTTAGAGTGATATACGAATTTATAGGTAATCTCATATTGTATTCTATCAGTTGTTAGAGTGATATACGAATTTATAGGTAATCTCATGTTGTATTTTATCAGTTGTTAGAGTGATATACGAATTTATAGGTAATCTCATGTTGTATTTTATCAGTTGTTAGAGTTATATTAGAATTTATATGTAATCTAATGTTGTATTCTATCAGTTGTTAGAGTGATATACGAATTTATAGGTAATCTCATATTGTATTTTATCAGTTGTTAGAGTGATATAAGAATTTATAGGTAATCTCATGTTGTATTTTATCAGTTGTTAGAGTTATATAAGAATTTATAGGTAATCTCATGTTGTATTTTATCAGTTGTTAGAGTTATATAAGAATTTATAGGTAATCTCATGTTGTATTTTATCAGTTGTTAGAGTGATATACGAATTTATAGGTAATCTCATGTTGTATTTTATCAGTTGTTAGAGTGATATACGAATTTATAGGTAATCTCATGTTGTATTTTATCAGTTGTTAGAGTGATATACGAATTTATAGGTAATCTCATGTTGTATTTTATCAGTTGTTAGAGTGATATACGAATTTATAGGTAATCTCATGTTGTATTCTATCAGTTGTTAGAGTGATATACGAATTTATAGGTAATCTCATATTGTATTTTATCAGTTGTTAGAGTTATATAAGAATTTATAGGTAATCTCATGTTGTATTCTATCAGTTGTTAGAGTTATATAAGAATTTATAGGTAATCTCATGTTGTATTTTATCAGTTGTTAGAGTGATATACGAATTTATAGGTAATCTCATGTTGTATTTTATCAGTTGTTAGAGTGATATACGAATTTATAGGTAATCTCATATTGTATTTTATCAGTTGTTAGAGTTATATAAGAATTTATAGGTAATCTCATATTGTATTTTATCAGTTGTTAGAGTGATATACGAATTTATAGGTAATCTCATGTTGTATTTTATCAGTTGTTAGAGTGATATACGAATTTATAGGTAATCTCATGTTGTATTTTATCAGTTGTTAGAGTGATATACGAATTTATAGGTAATCTCATGTTGTATTTTATCAGTTGTTAGAGTGATATACGAATTTATAGGTAATCTCATGTTGTATTTTATCAGTTGTTAGAGTTATATAAGAATTTATTGGTTATCTTCAGTTTCCTGTTGTATTTTATCAGTTGTTGGAGTGATATCAGACTATCGGTATTCTCCTGTCGTTTTTTATTAATGTGACATTTGTTAAGTATACGCTATTCACGCCAGCTATACAATTTAAATACCTGTATATGATGGTATGTTCTACACCTTTGGTTTTCTTTAGAAACAGACCCTTGCCTGGCAGATAACTATGTTATGATGGATGATCCAACATACTTTACGACTTACGAAACTGACCCAAACTCTGTCCGATGTGAGACTGACATTGTAAAGCAATGGTACAGGATCAAATTCGGTGCTGTGGCAACATCACCACCACCTTTAAACAGATGTGGTACCGAACAGACGGTGTGGATCGACCCTTTAAGTAGGATATATATTTTTTATTTTGAATTTGTTTTTGGTCATTTTCCTGATTTTTTCTACAACAATAGGTGTATGTCACTTAACTCCCAAAGATTAAGTTAATCATTGCCCTTGTTGTGTCATCGAAGCAAACATACGTTTCGATTTGCTGAACTCATAGATTTTGGCCTGTGTGAACTATAAATGGATAGAAAGTTTGGCTGTAAGGGCGCTTAATGCACTCGTGGAAATGAAAACGCCAATTATCTCTTTTTTACTTACTTGGCAGCAGCTCAATACAGGTCATATCACCACAGCCAAACTAATATGTAAAGGAAACACACGTGGATAAGAACAAGCTAGGTCATTGTTGGAATAGCTGTGTTATTTTGGTAGAACCATGTCACACAAACTCGCGGTTTTGTGTAATCTTTGAATATACCATTTGTTGATTTGCTGCAGCGTTTTATCAACGAGACAACTCACAAGCTAAGTACGAAGTACTGATGATGCAATGCAGATAAGCAGTATTTAAGGAAATCGTCATCCACGTTTTTTTTCTCTACAAATTTTCGTCAATGTGTCCCAATTTTTCAGTCAATGAATTAAGCACTTTTGTCATGTTAATGTACATGTATATTGAGAGAAGTAGATAAGCATATTATATGACTGATACTATGAATACATAATCACGGTGTGGTTTACGTGTGATTCAGCCTTACCATCCTCGGGAGAAAGCGGCTTTGTAACACTATGTTTGAAAACGTCAACAGGAGACTGCCCATATACAGGAACGATACTGGCAAAAAACTGTGGCTCGTTCTTTGTGTACGAACTGAGGCAGCTGAATGCGCGTTTTTGTCCCCTCGGGTACTGTTTTGGTAAGTATAATTGTGAGGAAACTGCTAATTACTCACATTCATTCTCATTAGAAACGAAGGAATATATACGCTGATTTTTTAATTCAGTAATAAAAAAAAAGAGAAAAAAACAATGATTGTATTTTATGTCTGTTTTGTGTTGAGTAAGAGTAGGATTTGTCAGCTTTACTCAATGAATGACTTAACCTCAAAATTAATACATTGTTTTAGAAAAGGACACTGGTATGATACAGCCGTCCGTGTCAGCATCTTTGGTTAATGGGACGATAACAATTGATTCTACCGAATATCCGAACAAAGAGATCCTTTTTACATGTCACCTGGAGGCTAACACAGATGTGGAGTTGACGTCCTTATATTACGATGTTGTGTGGTACATCAACGATCAGGAAATAACACGGATGTCAGACCTCACTTACTCGACCTACATTAATAATGGGGGGCTCAGTGAAGGCGAATGGAGAGGAAAGTATTCCCTCCCAATGCAGGTAAAAGTCTTTAATACATTTACTTTGAAATTGTTGTATTTTTTGGATAAGGGTTTGTCATGTCAAATTTCAAACGGATTTCGAATGAGATGACAGAGAGCTCTGTTTTAGAGTATATATGCTTTGTTATGTATAATAATTTAGAGTGTAAGTGGTGATCGATGAATGTGGTGAGAGAGATCTCCCCGTGTGGGAGGCATATATAAATTTGTTTTGTTATGTTTGATAATTTAGAGTGTAAGTGGGGAGTGGTGAGTATGGTGAGAGTGCACACCTATGTGGGGCACTGTAATGTACAGATCAGATTCCAGGATCTCACCCCTGGCATATCTAATAGATATTCTGGGTCAATAAAATTCCATTGAAAGGAGAGAAAATAAAGAATTCAAACTGATTATTTTTGATAGATATTATTTTGATTACATTAGGGTATTTTACTCAAACGATCAATTTGATACCTGATAGTTGCCCCTAAAACTCACAAACATATACATACTAGTGCCTAATGCTGAGTTATGGAATATGACTTAGTGTCCACAGTGTACAAATTAAAATCGTTAGAGTGTAAGTGGTGTAAGTGTTACATGTGCGATGTCTTTGTTATTGTCAGCAGTTATTATTTCTGTCACTCAGTATTCAAGAATTGAAATAAACATTTGTCACAGTTTCTTAGTATCCATATGTTGTTATAACAGGTGAAGTGTGTCGTCCAAGCCAAAACAGAAGTGTCTACGGGAACAGATCACTTCATCGACAGCGCTCCGTTCTACGCTGGGTTCAAGGTATTTTGTTGACTGAATTCTACCTTTAAAACATATCTTTAAGTTTCATTAGTCATATATCGGATGTAGATGTCACCTAAGATTTTGTCCGATAAGATTGTAGGAACGAGTCCAAAATTTAACACTGTCGAGCCACTGTTTGACAATTTATATTACTTTTAGATTCGTTTAATTTCCCGACTATTATGTAATCCTCAGACGGAGCTATCAGGAGAAACTCTCCAGGAAAACGGTGAGTTGAATCTAACGATACGACTGACTGTTCCTCTTGGCTGCACGTACCTCAACAACATGGAACAAAAGGAGTAAGTATATAACATAACGTTATAAAGTAATGATACAACTTTTACTGAGTATGTTCGTCTGGAACATAAACAGCTGTAATAATGATTAAAACTAAATTCAGAACGAACATTCATAGTTTAAGTTGTATGATATTATCGATGACAGACACAAGTTGTTAGAGTCAAACATTTTCAAAATCTTATTGTGTAATTATTATCTATAAAGTATCGAGTTATACTCATTATCAACACAAATATAAAACAATGTCATTGAAGCAACCAAGTTTTGGCATTACTTACGGATACTTTTTATTGACATTGAAATCATTTTTCGTCTTGGTCAAAATACATATTTTGAAAGTATTTCAATATTGTTTTGATTCAAATGTTTTTTTTTTTTTTTTTTTTACTTTTCTTTGTTTGCATGTTGTTTTTTTTTCGAAAAAGCCTTTGGAAAAGTACAGCAATTTTCTTTAAAGACATTTTACTTTTTCCCTATTATTTCGTTTGTACGAAATATCATATCGTTTTCATTTTTTGTTTCATATCTTCCGAACTTTTGTTTCGTTTTAATGAATCAAATCAATTAGTAGAACTACTATTTTATTTAAACGAATTGATACTATTTCTGTTACGGAAAGGTGTTTCACAATGCTGCTATGTTTGATTATTTCTAAATTTGGTTTAAGGCATGATGGCATTAGTGTTATTTTGAATTATAAATACAGATTTTGTGAAAAAATACCCTAGTATAAGGATAGGCGTGGATATTAAAACTGGTATAGATTTTATACAGTCCAAATACGAACAGATGTTCCGGAAGGATAAACGTTTTCTGCTTCATTTACGATATTCATGATGTAATTCTTGGTCAACCCAAGTAAGTAATGTCACGTTCCATAATGAAAGTAAAATAAACAACAACGGGACCATCAGGCATACTAACGAGCCTCAAACATGTCCGACTTCATATTACGAGAGAAAGAGAATATTTCATTATGGAATCATTGTGTTGGGATTAAGTCGAGTGGTTCTGATGACTCGGTCAGTTAGAGCGTTGACCCTCTTAATCTCAAATGAAGGTGCAAGGTGCGTGGTTCGCAGCTTCTCACCCACGGCATTTATATAATCTAAGAAACAGACCGGTTTGTGCTTACGTAATTGTCCTTAGACAAGACATTTCACCCGAATTGCTCTTAACGTTGTTTATTGAGGTAGATTCCAGCTACTTCAATAAGACCCCGCCTCTAAATGATCCTGTCTATTCAAGTGGAAATAAACCAAACAAAACAGTAAATCATAACTAGGACGTGGTTATCAACCGATGAATAATAATATAAATCAAGATATGCAAGCCTCAGAGTATATCCTAACGGTTGTAATAGGCTTAAAGGATAATTGGTTCCTAATAAGAGTAGACATTCGAATAAAAGGAAATAATGTTTTGTTAAAACATAATGACTTTAAAAAAAAAAGTAGACGAGCTCAGATTACAGACTTTGATGATAGTTTATTATTTCATGGATGTTATTGGTCTTCCCATATTAATTGCAATCTCGTATTTTTAAGTATAATTCTTATGGCACCAAAACAATTAGATATATGACTTACAAAGCTGTTTAAATATGAATTATCATAATTTTTTCAGTATCCAAAAACATGAACAAGACCATTGCAAGATGGCAATTCGAGTAGTGATACCAGACGAAGATTCTGCGACGGATTCTTGCACACCCGGTCATGTTATTAAAAACTCCATCACGTTTGTTAACTATAATTGTGGAGAGTTTATCCACCATAGTAGCTGGGATACTCCAGTGGTGTTGACACTACACGGGGCGCCGGACAATATCGTCAATACCGGACATCGCTTCGCAGTGATACAGCTTCGAGCAGACTCTGTTTTTGGGCACAGCGTATGGAGTGGAGCAGTTGGTGAACAAATAGTAGTAAGTAAACGAAAACATCTGTAATATAAAGAAAGGACACTTAGTAAGCAAAACAATGTATTATATAAAGCAATAGCAGGTAGTGAGCAAAATTATCTATAATATAAAGAAATATCAAGTAGTAAGCAAAATTATCTATAATATAAAGAAATATCAAGTAGTAAGCAAAATTATCTATAATATAAAGAAATATCAAGTAGTAAGCAAAATTATCTATAATATAAAGAAATATCAAGTAGTAAGCAAAATTATCTATAATATAAAGAAATATCAAGTAGTAAGCAAAATTATCTATAATATAAAGAAATATCAAGTAGTAAGCAAAATTATCTATAATATAAAGAAATATCAAGTAGTAAGCAAAATTATCTATAATATAAAGAAATATCAAGTAGTTAGCAAAATTATCTATGATATAAAGAAATATCAAGTAGTTAGCAAAATTATCTATGATATAAAGAAACATCAAGTAGTTAGCAAAATTATCTATGATATACATCCACATTATAATACCGGATCGCGCGGTTGTATCGTGGTTGCCTTTATCCCAGGCAAGTGGGGTTCGATTCCAGACAATGCAGGTGCTCCCAAGGATTTCCGGTTTCCTTTCTTGATAGCTCTTTCTGGACAAAACTGATAATTGATATGAATTGATCGAGTTTTTTTTACGATTGCTGTAAATGATGTAAAGTATAATTTTTTTTTCTTTTAAATCATTTCGGTTTGAGAGTAAAACATAAAAATAGTGATTGTTTTCATATTTAGGTTTCGTTAAATAAATTGCGGTACGCTTGTATTAATAGTATACCGACAGATGAAATGGATATTTACGACAGCATTGGCTAAAACATCAACTAATATATTTAAAATGTTAATACCATGTACATTGAAAGCATGGTCGTATAATGTTCGTACCAATTAATCATCATATTTTCATTTTCTTCATCAGGTACATATCCACGATGATGATATAAATATCATGGGTAAAAAATGCTACTCTTCAAACGATCCACACATGCAAACTTTCGACGGCAAGTAAGTGAGATGTCATTCGGTGTTGTTTCCATTATGGACAATTACAATCTTCAAATAATGACAATTTTATTTAACAAAGTTACAAGGGATCATGTTACATTGCTGCATTTTCGTAAAGGTATCTAAATCGTATGAATATTTTGAATTTTTCGGAGAAAATGTAACTGCAATACGTAAATTTTGATATATATATTTCAAAGGCACATTAAAATAGAAAGTAATTGGTGATCTATTTATACATCAAAGATTAATGTTAACATTTTTTCTTTAAGGAACTACGAGTTACAACATACCGGAGAATACGTCTTGTATCAACATGATGACCAGTCGATCGCTGTCAGTAGTCAACAGTTTGCGTTCAATTCGCAAAGAAATAAGCAAGATATAGTATAACATATTAGGAATACTACAAGCTCTTCTAACTCTCATTCCTATTGTTCTGTTGCCTTCCCTGTGATCTGAATAATGCGGTTATAGAAAGTTTCAACCAGAATAAAGTTGAAATTGAAGCTATTAAGCATATATTTTGTAGTCAAAGAACAACAGTCTTTTCTCGTGTTTCAGATTCACGCCTACTTCCAGCCGTGTAAGTGGGGTTTACCGAACGCGAAATGCAATTGCGGAATTGCTGTACGCTATAGTAATGTTGTCTTCAGGGCCAATTTCTGTAAGCATTCCAATGGGTACAACAGAATTATCGAGTTGAACGGCTGTGACAAAGACGCAATGAAGATACACAACTTCCAATCCAGCACGACATACGGATCTAGCTTCGAGGTACTAATAGATAACATTTTTTTTTAAATCAGTAAAACTTCTCAAGCTTTTGGAGGAAAGAGTGAATGCTATATGCAGCGTACACATCAAAGTATTATGATACTACTAAAACTGATTAACTTTATCAAATCTTCGTTACTTAGTTAAATAAGCTAGAAGTTAACTTGGAGACCGGATACATCCATTTCCCCTAAGTGTGTCATTTGTCTCTGAAAAATCTTAGTAACAATTTCCACTATGGGATTGTTAGTCAGGCTTCAATTATTGTCACGACCTTATCTCAATAAAAAAACTTTCCATCAGATATCTTGCAATGTTCATTTCATGGTTTTCTCGAAGCCTAGATATCAATAAATGCATCAATAAATTGTTCGGTCATAGCTTGAAAAATATGTAATGTTTTGTTTTTGTTTTTTGTTTTTGTTTTTTTAGATAACCCTTCAAACCGGTACAGTGGTAACTTTTAGCTACGGTTCGTTCAGAGATTCTGTAATATTCATCCATTATATCTACGTTAAACCGTCCATGCTGGACTGGAAAGCCTCGAGAGGGTTGTGTGGATATTTAGACGGATCAACGGCAAACGATTTTATAATGAAAGACGGATCGGAAACACTTAACGCCAATGATTTCAGCAACAGTTGGAAGTTTGTATCGTATAAAATATCACACTACTTATCTAATTCTAACATACTCTTAAAACTTAATAATTATATTTAGTTACGTTTAAACCTACATTGTCTGTGGTCGAATTACTTCTTACTAACTGACTCTCAAACAACCGACCATAGCAGGTTAAACAATTCCAATGAAGAATGTAATATCATACAAATTTGTATCATATTATCAGTGACATTCTTGCTCTCTTTTAACTTTTTATAATATGTTTACAGAATTACATCCGGGAGTTCTGAATCACTCTTTATAAACCCATTGCAACCAAATCCGACACCTTCACCGATGAACCATAGCTATTGTACCTGCAAAAACGAAAGCATTTTTGATGAACACGTTTCCTGTTCGGCTTTTCCTGTAAAGGCCTGTTCATCTTCCGAGTCCTCGGATTCCATTGTTGCTAGCTTGACTGGTTATATAGACATGTGCAGAACATCATATACAAAACGTGATACAGAGGAAGATATGGTGTTCATCCCTTTGTACCCAAATCTGGAAGAAGGCAATGATACCGAAAGTGAGGTGAATATGTTTCAATTTTTTTCCAATTATTTAATTGTGTGCACTGTGTTAAATTTCTGTATGCATTTTGTAAATTAACTTACTTTGCTTTGTTAGGTTAACATTTTGAGGTTTTCTTACGGATGATGAAGGACAAAATTTTGTCTTGGTGATACTTGATACTTGATGATATCCTAATTTTCTTGTTAAGGAGATATAATGATTAAAGCTACACCATTCATATGAAAGATTTTGTTTTATAATTGGTTGTGTTTATAAGGTTCCTGAATGGTCTGGTAACTGGACAGAGATTTCAGCTGCTGAAGCTTGCAGGGAGTTCCTTAGTGCTAGTAAACTCGCACAGAAATGTGAGGAAGTGATACCAGGTTTTGACACTGAAGCCTACGTACCCGACTGTACAAAGGATATCAAAGTACATATCATCGAACGTCATCAATATTAACATTGAATTATCTAAATGTAGCTTAATTACAAGAATTCTATCTTTTCTAACTATCTATTTAGCTTAACAGGCCATTACAACAGAAACCGTATGTAAGCGTAAGGATATTTACATTCACTATACTACCTCATAATACAGATGGTGTGTTAAGATAAGGAATATTAATGGATTGGTAGATGTTCTAAATACAGAACCATCTTTTAAATTCCACGGTCAATACTTATCTTTTTAGTAAAAATTGCTTTTTTAATGTTCAACAATAAGATATTAGTAACAATAACAAGTATAAACATTTTGAAGAAAAGAAGAAAAGTTATGTATTTATTGCCTTAATGGTTGGTGGTAGTTTTAAATGTCAATTTATTTGAAGGTATATATTTGTTTTTGCAAAAAAACAATAATTTCCCTACTTTCATAATAAGTCGTGTTATTAGAATGTATGGTTATTTTCATTGTATGCAGATAGTTGAAGTTGATAAGAACAATTAAGATTATGCTTATCTCTATGTTACGTGTCATTAAATGAAACGTCTTATAACGTATCACATTTTACAAACAAGTTTGATAGAAAGGAAATTGAAAAAAAGCTTTGATGATCATTAGTTTTTTTAATGTGGGAGCGTTTATCTTTAACTTAATTTTCGAGGTCAAACAGCTTTACAAGTTATCAGGATTTCACGAATGGCATTAATTATTTCTGTATCATCTTGGATACCTTAGTGTTTGAAACATACAACATCACTGTACGTGCTGTCTATATGTTTACACAGCTCACAGGAGGATCTACTGTGTTTATGGAGTCAACACTGTCCTTACTACAAACAGCGTGTGTGACTGAAGCAGTGCGTTTAGAAAATCTTACACGGGACGATAGCGGAAATGGCACCACCCTCCTGGACGAGATTTTAGCCTTGAGGTGTACCAACAATTGCTCCAATGCAGGATCATGTGTAAATGGTAAGTCAAATGCTGTTCATCGTAGGTAAGGCTCCCAGTTAGAAGAAGTGTACAAAAGGCACAATGTAGCATCATTCCGTACAAATATATAGTAAGATCCAGCTTAATCCTGCATTTAGCTGCAGCATGAAGCGGTTTTGTCCTGTGACATGTCAATGATGCTTATATCGTTTAAACAGTGAAGGCGATCACAGATATTCAGATTGGTAAATTTTAATATGAAAAAAAAACTAGTTTGGAGATGTATTTACCCTCAGAATAATTAAAATTCAAAATTTTCAATATTAGATAATGGTAACCAGTTTGTGCATTGTCTAAATGTTGCTACAATGAAGAGTTAGTAAATCTTGGCTTGTTGGTTACGGCAATTCCTAAGGTCTTCGATTCAACAGCGGATTCTTTCGCCCGAAATCTCAAAGGATTGTACAAACCTATTTACCATGACAATTTAATGACTTCACGAAATATCGTACATATATTTGAAATGTGAAATGTTCATCACATGAATTAAAAAACATAGTGTGTAATATTACTTCACTAAACTTGCTGAAAGGTACTTGTCAGTGTGAAACCGGATATGAAGGACATGATTGTTCTCAAAGTGGAAACGACCCACCCTTGATTTCGCAGGAAACAAATATGGGTTTGTGTGATTCATCGATAAACACTTGCTCCAAATACGTCGTGTCAGGAGATAACTTCATGCCGAAGCGACCCACGTGCAAAGTTAGACCATTCAAGGTAAGATCACGTACGATATTATATGTAATAACTGCATATAGTATGTATAGTATGTCAAGGATTTTTTTTATTGTCATTTTTCTTTTTTGATATTGATGAAAATCATATTGGATTGCTACGTAGAACGTTAGCGATTTGTCTAAGTAAAAAACCTCAAGTCGATCTTATAAAAATGCAGATCCGAATTCTCGCTCCGTCACTGTCCGCATAGGATCTCTTTTGAAATCAGTTTGAGGTTTAAGAAACATTTAAAACGTTTGTTCAACATGCTATTGTTTTTGCTGTAGGTTATTGATTCTTCAATCGAAATGGAAGGGAACGAATTAATTTTCACGGGAGAATATGTGAACACTTTCATCGTTATCTGCGATATTCCGAATTCTCGTAAACGCCGCTCCACCACTGATAATCAGCTGCCGACTGGCTACAAGATCAGTCTCTCAAACGACGGGACGACCTTCAGCACTGAGGTTACTTTCATCAACTTTGACGCCAACTGCTACGAGTGCAACATAACTACTATGACGTGTACAGCAAAGGTATGCCTTTGCGCTGAATGAAATTGAACTAGTTGAAATGGTATCAAAGGGTGATATGACTTATTCTCTCCATATCTTTCGTCAAGAAAAGTAATGCCTTGTGGCTATATCAGGATTTTATAATTAAGAAGAAACTGATTTTATTTTGCTGAAATTACTGCACTTTTATGAGGGAAATAACCGAATATGTATATCTGTTTTCTACTTCTTGAAAAAGGATCTTACAGGTGAAAGGATAATATGTATGAAATCACAAGGACCTATTGTTTAGTATTCTTGTTTGAGATAAATATCGAAATGTCTGAAAGTGAAATAATGGCTGAATTTCAAAAATGAAGTTTATAATGAGAAATTAAATATACGACTTTAAAGATACAAAATGAAAAATACGAAATCGGTGATTGTCGAAACACCCTTGATACCATGCAGAAAATTTGTTTGCAAATGATGATAATGATTACAGCCGGTTATTGATAATCTAATTCTCTATAGGCAGGTGAAATGCATGTAGCGTTTATTTAAGCTTTCCTACTACAACGAGCTCTACCATATTTCGATAAGGAATATTGTTTCCTTTATCAGTTTTAAAAATCAAATTTGCCTGGCTCCAGTGAATAAAGTAATATGTCGAAACAGTTACATTTGAAATGATTCTTGTCCTAAAATTTTGAGATTTGTAATATGACTGTCATATAACAATTATAATTTTGATTATAAGACTTGTTAGTGAAAAGTATCCAGAACATTGCTAGCATATTGACTGCTCTAAATGCTAAATGCTATATGCAAATTCTATTCGGGGGAAAAAGAGTGAAATGAAGTGATTGAATCAAACCTGTAATTTGGTACAGGCGGTGTTTCAGTAAATTTGATGATATAGTTATATAATGAAATCTTGTGATGAATCCGATGATAAAAACACAATAACAGCTTTGAAAATAATTTCACAATACGTAGTTTGACTATACTGATACTAACAGAACGCCTGCATGTTTTCACGACATTAGTCTGAAGGTGTGTAGTTATTAAGAAGATTACTAACCGTACAACCATCGAACATCCATTTAAACAGTTTGTTTTCAGCATAATTAAGTAATGACATATACCCGCTCTCATAGTGCCGTTCATCTTTCATTCATGTCCATTGAATTTTAGAAGGGTTGTAGCCAGTCTGTTCAGGATGACTCCTCCACCATTGCGCAAGACAATTCCTCCAGTAAGTCCACCTTGGCAATTTCCTTTTTTACAGTGAAACAACAAAGTTATCCTACTTTTGTATCATTATATCTATTTAACGATAACTTGGAAACAACTATGACTAGTAGTTCAGCTGCATCAATATACATTATTGCAGATGATTCATTACGTTTTATTTGCTGATGTGTTATACACTTGATAAAGAAAATATCTTCTTACACTTATACTCTGTCCGGGCTTTTAACTCGTTGTATACGGCACGAAGAATTTGTACAAGTGCCTAAACTTTACACCATTACGACATCCTAAACAACAATGTTTAAGGGTGTATAATAAACAACTTGATATCGTCGACCATTTTTACAGTGGCAAATTGTTTATTATGTAAGTTTTTGATAGGGTGGAGGGATGAGGGTTGTAGACTATAAAAAACTGTACACGTTATCAGTATTCTCTCCAGTGACATTGCTATTCAATTTGTGTTTGGCTTTGGCTTACATATACATAATTACAACTACATTGTTTGGTTTATTATGGATAATGAGAACGAATTTTCGTTTCAGAAACTGCCGTCGTGATGGGTGTGGTCGTTGGCCTCGTGTCACTCCTCGTTATTGTAGTCGCTTTGTGCTGCATAAAGAAAAAATTCGCAAAGTACGTACTATATCGACAGAATACTACATATAAGATCACGTTTGATATTTCTTTACACCAGCTTAGTATTGGGATGTTGTTTATAGCGTAAAATTTACTTAGTTGTATATTAGCACAGTCATTGGAGGTTTCATTTTTAAACGTAATGTTTTAACGGAGGAATATCCAAAGCTATCTAATTGATTTGATGATCTGTTTTCCATACATTCATTTTTCTAGGAAACAGACTGCTGTCATATCTGGTGATAAAAGTAAGAGTGACGATGGCAAATGGAACGATTGGGATCTGTTCAACTCGTCTGAATTAATCATCGGTGTTCGTCCTCCGTTCCAAACATGTTCTAAAGAAAAGATTGATCTGAACATTTACGACATGAAGAAATCTCCACAACCATATGCGAATGAAAGGAATGCCGAAACAGTTATGGCTTGGGAGGAGGATGCGGGGTTAAAAAATTGATTTGATATTTATTCACAGTGTGGTTATTCATTTTTGTTAAGTACATTGTTACTATCCAGTGTATTTTTGTCTATAATCTGTGTACTAATTCGTTGGTCGATTCCTTTCCATCTCCCACACTACATACATCAGTACTAGTACACTCCACACTGGTCATTTGTCTGATGAAGGTGATCTTGTAGTCGGCCAAATATCTCTAATCTTCTGCTGGTTGTATTATAAGAACTACAATTGAAATTACATATAACCAAATGTCCCACTATCATCATATGTTATATAATATACGATTATTTCGTTCATTTTTGAAGTTCTCTTGAGATAATTTAGGTAGTTCTACCATTCAACCAAAAAGCAACGTAACCGGAAAGACCATGGAACTATAACACATGAACAGGTCAATGAAAATCATTGTTTAAGTTATCAATGTGTGAGCATTGTAGTGTTTATATTTCTGCTTGCAAGATGGAACTTAGTGTAAAATCCAAGCTACAATGAATCATTTTTTTTTTTTTTTTTTTTTCTTTTTTTGTTTTTGTTTAAGAATATTTAGTTTGTGTTATACATTATCAATAAAAAAAATGTGTATATACAATTTGTCATGCTTTCCATATGATTTATACATCTCACCTACAATGTAGATATACTAAAACGAAAAAGAAACGCCGTGTAATCTAAAAAGATTCTTTTAAATGATATAATTTAATGTTACATTATTTCATTCATTTTTGTATACAATTTCATCTGTTTGGAACCATTTGTTGAAGGTTCTATCGATTATCAATGCTTATTATGCCAAAAATATCCCCCTTTTAGCGATGACCCTACTTGTATTGCGCAACACGGCCGGACATTTCAGTATCTTGTGTGTCCTCCATGCGCAGCTGTCGCAGCCCTGATTCTTCTATGCATGGAATTCATCAGGGTGTTAACCCTTGCAATGGGGATGTTATTCCATTCTTCATGCAAGGCACGTGTGAGCTGGACCAGATTAGTGGGGGCATTTGGACGTCTCCTAACTCTGCTATCCAGTTCGTCCCACAAATGCTCAATTGGAGACAAATCTGGACTGAATGCTGGCCAATCGATTGGGATTACGTTATTTTTGGCAAGAAATTGCTGACAAACTCTAGCGACATGGGGCCGGGCATTGTCTTGCTGGAATATCAGGTTCCGTGCTTGCACACATGGCACGGCAACTGGGCGAAGAATTTCGTCTCTATACCTTACGCCGGTTAAATTACCATCAATCACGATCAGGGGTGATTTAAACCCATAGGAGATACCGCCCCAAACACAAACTGAATCACCGCCAAAGTATCCCGCTCAGCGACGCACGCGTCGGTGTAACGTTCCCCTTGACGTCGATATACACGACGTCGCCCGTCCGAACGGTAGAGAGTGAACCGGGATTCGTCAGTGAAGAATACCCGTCTCCATTGCCTCATAGGAAAATTCCTGGGCGAGTGTGCTTGTAACCAAGCCAATCGGCGTTGGCGACGCGCAGGAGTTAGGGGCAGACCAACATAGGGACATCGGGCTCTTTGGCCATTGACGCGTAATCGGTTTCGAACCGTATCAGGATGAATATGGCGGTTATGACTGCCTATAGTGTTATTTGCAGTTTCGGTAGCTGTGAGATGGCGATTACGTAAGTGAGAAAGTCTTATAAACCGATCCTGATGTGGCGTCGTGACGCGCGGACGTCCACTTCGCGGTCGGTCGATAACCCTCCCCGTCACTCGCACACGTTGGACAAGACGTTGAACTGTCCGAATATGCACACCAAAATGTGCAGCAACCTGAAGTTGGCCCTGACCCTGCAAAAGCATTCCTATAGCTTGATCAGTATCAAATAGACTGAAAATTTCCATTGGCGAACTCAATGACCTTCCCCTGCACGGGATTCTTGTATTTTAGCACGTGCCTCGCACGGAGCGCGGAGGTCAGGTATTGTGTGATTTTAAACACGTGTACCTAGTGACCGCGAACAACACATCAACCTGACCGAGTGTCATTATTCCAGGCCAAGCAATAAATCATTTGTAGTATATTTAGTGTACCCGGCGTTCCTTTTTCGTGTTAGTATAGTTTGTTTGCTTCATCCCCTGTCGCATTGATATACCGTACTTTTGCCGACAAAGTGAGGTCATTCATTTAACAACGTCAGTCCTTAGACATCAGTTAATTACTATGTGTGACAAATATCAACTCCAAAACTCATACAATTATCTTATTTGAAATATTAAACTAATATAGAAAGTTTGGAATATAAAACATTCAGTGAATGCAATTCACATTTGAGAAATGTTATTCTAAGTAGTTTACTATCTCAGATTTCGGAGTAAAATCGTGATGGTATTGCAATACATACATCTATAATTTTTACTCCTGCTGACAGAAACTCATAAAACTTTTTGGAAATATGCTTCACATGGAAAGGGTCTCAAATATTAATGTTTCATGTATGTCTGCTGCCCATTATATTCCTTATTCCTTATATACTTATGTACGATCGAAAATGTTCAATGCTATTCAGATAAAGACTCTCAATTTATTGTGGTATTGTATCAATAAATCAATAAAACAACAACAAGAATAATGGAATCAACTGTGAGAGGTAAATGCCTTAGTGTGGAGATGCAAAGAAAAAAGTCTCTATTCAGAAATGGAAAATTCACAATAGGGAAATTGAAATCATGATGTCTATCATACAGCTTGATGAAAGCTGTCCATGTTGATTTCGTTGTTTGAGAAGATCGAGATAAGCAGCTGATGTAGAACAGTCTGTCGTATATTTGCTTTCCAGTTCTTATGGATATATACGATTGACGTAGTCAATACATTTCTTGTTATTTAAAGACGATATCTCTTATGTGAAATTAAACGACTTGGCAAGGTCTTTGTGACCTGTTTTGACGAGTTCTTCAATAAATTAAAAAAGGAAATACCAACATGTCAACATAATCATAATCCAAAATCTAATTCAATAAAATTAGGGCAAAATGTTAACAAAAAAGATTTTCACAAAGACTCATGAAAAAGTACAAGCAGAATAAGACAAGGTGTTCCGGACGAGTAAGCTTCTTCTGCTTCATCGACCACAGCCGTCATGTAAACCGTAGTCAATCCAGGTAACCACATGTAATGTCACTTTCTCAAATTAGAACAAGGTACACAACAACGGAACCAACCTGCAAACTAACGGGCATCAAGCAAGAGAACTACATTTTTTGTTTATTTGACCCTTATATTACTCTACGAAAAGGTGTGTCACTTCATTACTTTGTAACCAGACATAGTAGAGGGATGAAACTTTGCGTAACTGTTAATCACAATGAGACGGTAAGTTGCATACTTTATTTGATCTCCCTTTCAAAAGTCAAGTATTCAAATTTAGAATATCTCGTGGTACTCTATCTGAACTACAGAAAGATGTGTCCGCTTCATAAATTTGCTGCCACTTAAGACGACAACTGTTAAAGCGACAGGTCTCGTAAAGATGGTTTCGGTCATAATAGTCTACTTTTTGTGAGCCTTAGAGAGCAGTAATCATAACATCATAACAAATAAGACTGTGTTCCATATTTCTTCTGCTTTAACAAGAGACATCATACAAATCATAGTAACGCTCCGCCTTCATAACGATAGCTAGATCATTGCATACAAACAAGACATATATTAGAATGTTCTTTGTGTATGTCAGATGTAAGAAAAATATGTTTAAAGGAAATGAAAGTCTTCCAAATTAGTGTCAGCTTAAAATTTACCTGCTATTACAACAGCTTGAAACGATCCACTGTGATACCTATTTTTTCGTTTCACTTTTAAAAACGTTAGATGACAACAATCACATATACTGACAATGTAAGATAATGAACACATTGCAGATGTACAGATGATCATTTTCATAAAATAACATACAATACTCAGTAACTCAACTGTTGGTGGTCTACGGAGGTAGATAGAGCCTTGTTGATGCATGAAATAACTACTTACAGAAACAATATTTAACAGCGTTCATGCAAGTATAATTCTTTGAAGAGAATAATCCCATTTTATATTCAATCTTAGGAAAACCATTTAAATAACAACCAATACAAACTGTGGGTGTGTGTTTGTGAAGGTGTTTGATATTGTTTTAAGGAATATTGGTTTGTATATTACAGCATATACATGTATGTGTTGTGAGGGTGTGTGTGAAGATGTTTAAGGTTGTGTGAAGGAATGCTAGTTTGTATGTCACAGCATATACATGTATGTGTTGTGAGGGTGTGTGTGAAGATGTTTAAGGTTGTGTGAAGGAATGCTAGTTTGTATGTCACAGCATATACATGTATGTGTTGTGAGGGTGTGTGTGAAGATGTTTAAGGTTGTGTGAAGGAATGCTAGTTTGTATGTCACAGCATATACATGTATGTGTTGTGAGGGTGTGTGTGAAGATGTTTAAGGTTGTGTGAAGGAATGCTAGTTTGTATGTCACCGCATATACATGTATGTGTTGTGAGGGTGTGTGTGAAGATGTTTAAGGTTGTGTGAAGGAATGCTAGTTTGTATGTCACAGCATATACATGTATGTGTTGTGAGGGTGTGTGTGAAGATGTTTAAGTTGTGTGAAGGAATGCTAGTTTGTATGTCACCGCATATACATGTATGTGTTGTGAGGGTGTGTGTGAAGATGTTTAAGGTTGTGTGAAGGAATGCTAGTTTGTATGTTACAGCATATATACTCAACAAAAAAGAAGGTTTTCTGCGACTAACTTGTATCTTCGCTTGAATTTCATAAACATTCAAACTGACAACTGTTCTTTAGATCCTTAGGACTTAGAAATCTTGCTATCTATCAACTTTATCATTATGCCCCGGCTGTCACAAGTACAGAGATAAAGGGCTGTAGGCATGATCCAGGCTGGGGAGTATCGCCGTCGAGTTGCACGGCATTTTGGTTGCAGTGTTAAGACAATTTGCCAGTTGGTAAGTCGTTTAAACCAAACTGGGTCAACATCCGATCGTCCCTGAAGCGGCCGACCCCGTAAAACGACCGCCACGGATGACCGTCGTATACGATTGATACACTTGCGCAATCGATTCGTAACCGCAGTAGAGATTACAAGGACATTGTTTGGGCGTCGTGTGTCTACCCAAACAGTCCGCAACAGGTTGAGGGCCTACCAATTGAAAGCGCGGTGTCCCTACACTGGATCCAATTTGTTGGGACGTCACCGTAATAATCGGCGTAACTGGACCCGTGTTCACCGTCGTTGGGCCTTACGACAATGGAACAATGTTCTGTTTTCAGATGAGTCCAGGTTTTGTCTGCAACACGGTGACGGAAGGCGCAGAGTGTGGCAGCGACGAGGGGAGCGTTTTGCGAACCGCTTTGGCGGCGGAAGTGTAATGGTTTGGGGTGGTATTTTTAGGGGGACTCGTACCAGGCTTGTTGTGTTAAATGGCAATTTAACCGGCATTCGATATCGGGACGAAATTTTAAGACCAGTGGTTCTGCCATTCTTAAGACGCCATGGCGTTGGCGCCATTTTTCAACAGGATAACGCACCAGCGCACACCAGTCGCGTCAGCAGAACTTTCTTGCAACAGAATAACGTACAGGTGTTAGATTGGCCATCTAAATCACATGATTTGTCACCGATTGAGCATGTCTGGGACGTTCTTAGGCGACGCGTGAGAGAATGTCAAAATCAGCCGTCAAACTTGCAGGAGCTGGCCCAAGCCTTGATCGCTGAATGGAACAACATCTCTCCTCAAATTATCAGCCGGTTTACGAGTTCCATGCGACGACGCTGCAATGCTGTTTACTTCGCAACGGTGGCCATACCCGTTACTAATGGTGTTACCTTTGAAATTGACCGCAACGTCCTTTCCAGTCGAATAAAATCAACTGAACGCAAAGTTTTATAATGAACCATGACTGCAGTTTTATCAGAATTGATCAATTACTTTATTCGTACATGATTGGTAAGGATTCATGAAGGGGTTAATTAATTAATCACAGAATAAAGTAGTGTTACCTTTCTTTTTTTGTTTAGTATATGTGTTGTGTGGAATTACGTGAAACGAACACATAGATCACAATGTTAATACATAAGCGGACTACGTACATATATGCATATACATAAACAATTCATATTTAAGCACATATCTTTAATATGGTAACAATGAGGTTTGCGATCCTTTATATTTGCGCGGTCATTTGTCATCTGTCGTTCATGCAAGTATAGATTTTTTTTGTTTTGGACTTTTATGAGAAACCGAGCAAATTTATTGCTTATAAAGATTTTTGTGACAAAACTCATGTTCTAAGGCAATTCTTACCACAGGTAAAAGAGAAAATTAAAGAAAGGGAAATTTAATTTGGCATTCTTCCATTGAAACTACTGACAGTTTTATAATAATCCATTTCAGGCCAAATCGCAACTCGCCACCAATTGGGAGATATCGAATTACGAATACGGTCACCAAAATAAAATGCATTACATTTTAACTTCCAGTATTCGTTCCTGGTGACTGACATATTCTCTAATAAACCGACATTGCTTTAAACAGACCCATCAGTGCATAACAATCCATGTCAGGTAATGCCTTGTGTGGCTTAATGCAAAAACAAAACATGCCTTAATAATGACTTCGGAAATCAATGGAGCCGCGGAATCATACAAAAGGAATTAAGCCGTTTCAATAATCCTTTTGTTGTTTAACATATAGATTATAAACATAGATAAGGTACAACAGATATACATGTATTTTGTGACTAGAACTTTTATTCAGAAAACCTCATCTTCAAAGACAATTTGAAATTTGGATTAACTGATGTTGAAACAGGCATAGATGTGAAGACATGTGGGTTATTAATTAG